ACTGAAAGTTTTGCATGATTTAAACTTGTTGTTGGGGGTCCATCGCGTGAAAGTCCCTGACCTCGAGTAAAAACCTTAATGAGAGGAAAATTTTTTTGTTCATTTTTTAAAAAAATAAGGGGGAAAATTTTTTTAGACTTGTAGTAAGAAGACACCATCCCCCTAGGAGGGGTTTTAATTTTAATGCTTACCCCCCAAGGGGGGGAAGCCAAAAAAACCTTTATCCAAGGAATTGGAAAAATTTCGAAAAACCCCCAATAGGGGGGAATCCAAAAACTTGGGGAATATTGAGAAATTTTGGGATTGGGGGGGGGGGTGGAAGGAGGGGGCAATCCAAAAAAAAACCTTTATCCAAGGGAAAGGAGAAAAAATTTTGAAAACCCCAAAGGGAAAGGGGGGAATCCAAAAAAAATTGATCTAAGGAATGGGAAATTTTGAAAAACCCCAAAAGGGGAGGGAAACCAAAAACCCTTGTTTTCCCTCGAGAAAATTTTTGGGGTTTGGGGGGGTGAATTTTTTGGGGGGGATCCGGAGATGGAAGAAATTCAAAACCCCCAGGGGGGGGGAATCCAAAAAAAATTGAAACCGGGAATAGGTCTTTGGGATTACGATTTAAAAAAAAAATGATGGTGGGGGGAAAGGGGGGGTACCCAAAAAAAAAAAAACCCTTTATCCCAGGAAAATTTTGGGGAATTTCGAAAACCCATAGGGGGAAACCAAAACTTTATCAAACGAGAAATTTTTGGGGTTGGGGGAAAGTGGGGAGGGGAACCTTAAAATTTATCCAAGGAATGGAAATTTCGAAAACCCTTTAAACCCCAAAGGAAAATGGGGACTTTTTCCCAAAACCCCCCCTAGGGGGGGAACCCCCTCAAAAATTTGATTCGAGGAGATGGGGGAATTTCGAAAACCCCATAGGGGGGGAAAAAAAAAAACCGGGGGTTCCCAAGGGGATCATAAGAAAAAAAAAAATTCGGGCGCGGGGGGGTTTCCGGGCACGCTGCAGAAGGGGAAACAGAAGGCGCGAAGGGGGGGCCCGGGGGGGCCCCGGGGGGGTGGGGGGGGGCGCGCGGGGGCGCGCGGGGCGGCGGGGGGGGGCGCGCGGTGCGCGGGCGCCGCGGGGCGGGGGGGCGGGGCGCGCGGGTGCCCCGGGGGGCCGGACGGCGGGGGCGCAAGGCGGGGGGTTTGGGGGGGGGTGGGGGTATTGGTTGGGGGTTAAGGGTAGGTGTTCCCCGAGGGCAGGTCATGGGCCAAAAAGGGAAATAACACCTTTTTGTGAAAAGGTGACCCTCCCCCTGCTGGTCCTAGACCGGGTACCTCGCTCAAATGGAAGGCCCCAAACCGGGAAATTCCTCGCCCATGAAAAGGGCCCCAAAACCGGGAAATTCCCCCCCCAGAAGAAAAGTTGACTACTTTAATATATATATATAAATATATTTATATATATATAATATTATATATATTTTTAAAAATATTAAAATATAAATATATATATAAAACCAGGGCAACTGTGATACTTTTTGTTTCCCGCTTTCCCCCCTTCCTTTCCCAGCACCTACCTCTTAAACACCTACACCTACCTCTTTGCACCTAGCATTTCTCTTTCACTGGTGTTTCCTCACCTTGGGTTTTCGGGGGGTCAGTCCCCCCCGTCTTGATAGGGGGGGTCAGTCCCACATCTTGATAGGTGGTGGTCAGTCCCACAGTCCCTTTAATAGAAGGGGTCAGTTTTCCCCAGCCCCTTGGGTAGGTTTGGGGGTTTAGTCCCCCCAGTCCCTTTATAGGTGGTGGGGCCCGTCCCCCATCCCGATAGGTGGTGGTCCCGTCCCCCATCTTTTTAAGTGGTGGGCAGCCCCAGTTCCCTTTTAGGGGGGCAGTCCCCCCAAAACTTGATAGTGGTGGTCAGTCCCGTAGTCTTGATTTGAAGGTGTCCCTCCCACAGTCTTTATAGGTGGTGGGGCCCTCCCGATCTTTATAAAGGTAAGGGCATTTCCCCTATCCCTTTATAAAGGTGGGCAGTCCCCAAAAGGTACACCAAATAGGCCTTCGGGTTTCCTCCCCTGTATTCGACCCGAAGAAACCTACTGTGTAAATGAAAAATTTTTTAAATTAAACATATTTGGGGTTTCACTATTGATATTATATAGGGCCCCCTTTTTATTTTTATATTATTGGGGTTGTCCCGTGTTTTTTTTAGAAAGCCCTTTCCCCTTTGGGGAGGGGAAACGTTGCACCTTTAAGAGTTTATGATTACACAAGGGATTTTTAAAACCAAAAAAGAACGAGTATAAATTTTAAAATTTTTGTGTATGTGAAGAGAGATTCGTGGTTCCTTAACCAGAGGTTTGGTAAGTTGGAGTAGGAAGAAGGATAGGTCAGGATAGAATGTGAAGGAAGGATAGGTTCGGGTGAGGCTAGGGGATAATAAAGGTCAGTAGCCCAACCACTTTGTTGCATAATGATAAAGGTGTGTGTGCGTGTGTGTTGTGTTATCCATGATAATCACTGGATGGGGTATCCCACACCACCCATCAGCGGCACACAGGTATGCATACTAGTTGCATACATGTATGGCGGTGAATTGAGAGTAGGTATAGTTTTTGCTATTGTCTTTTTTTGTGCAGAGGCAGGTTGCTTGGAGTGGTTACTTGGTTTGCTTGGTTAGATGTAAGGTTAGGAAACAGGATAATTGTTTCCTGATGTAGGTTTTATGTTAGATGTTAGGTCGACATAATAGAGATGATTTTATCTATCTTGAACACAGAATGGCTCTGGTTAGGCTAGGTTAGGGCATTGGCTTAAGCTGGTGGGAGAAATGGACCTGCCTCGCATGGGCCAGTAGGCCTGCTGCAGTGTTCCTTCTTTCTTATGTTCTTATGTTCTTATGTATTCATTTTTCTAAATCTTCAGGGAGATCAGTCAGAATCTTTGGTCTTGGGAAGCTCTTCTTGTTTATCTGGAGTTTACCTGGAGAGAGTTCCGGGGGTCAACGCCCCCGCGGCCCGGTCTGTGACCAGGCCTCCTGGTGGATCAGAGCCTGATCAACCAGGCTGTTACTGCTGGCTGCACGCAAACCAACGTACGAGCCACAGCCCGGCTGATCAGGAACTGACTTTAGGTGCTTGTCCAGTGCCAGCTTGAAGACTGCCAGGGGTCTGTTGGTAATCCCCCTTATGTATGCTGGGAGGCAGTTGAACAGTCTCGGGCCCCTGACACTAATTGTATGGTCTCTTAACGTGCTAGTGACACCCCTGCTTTTCATTGGGGGGATGGTGCATCGTCTGCCAAGTCTTTTGCTTTCGTAGTGAGTGATTTTCGTGTGCAAGTTCGGTACTAGTCCCTCTAGGATTTTCCAGGTGTATATAATCATGTATCTCTCCCGCCTGCGTTCCAGGGTAAACTCTGTGTTGGAGAGACATCCTGTGTGTCCTGTTGGGAGGTGTGTTGATGATGTAGTCAGTGGTGTTAGTTGGCTGGGATGTGTTTTCTCTTGTTGGTATATAGAATTCTTGCATGAAGTTTAGTTGTAGCTTTGTCCAACCTGACATTTACTGCGTCCATCTCCTGTTGGATGTGCAGATCTTCCAGTCGGACTTTGTATCTCAGTCAGGTGGCTGTGATAAAGCGAAGTGCCTTGTTCTGGACTCCTGGAAGCTGTTGCATGTTGCTGTTGTTGTTAGTATCATGGTCATGCAACGATATTCAAGCACAGGTCTCATCATGATGATCACGCAAGGATATTCAAGCACAGGTCTTATTATCTTACATACGTACTTCTTGACATGAGGACCTGATTAAACCTGTATACCTGAGGCAAACTTTAGCTAAGTTTACCTTTTTGGTGACGTGTGATGTAGAGTGGAGTATTCTGTTGATCTCGTAGCCCAGGATCTTATTGGGTTTTTGATGATGATCGTTGTACCTGTGATGGAGACACCTCCATTGTTTTCAGTTGTTGTGGTAAAACATCAGATGGTGCTGATGCGGACCTTGTCAGGATTGGTCGTGATTCTCCATTTCTTCTCCCAATTGGTTGTTTTTCGCAATTCACTATTCATTTTTTCTGTCACCCTTCTATGCCTGTTTTGTCCAGACGAAGGAGTGAATTAAACTACATAGGTAAGATTGTCAGTAAATTGCGTAATGATGGTGGCATTGAATTAAGGTTGGGGAGGTCATTTACATATATATTGAAGAATATGGACCTCAGACACGAACCCTGTGGCACTCCAGCTGTTGGTGTGAATGACTCTGCTGTCTTGCAGTTGAAGGATATGATGCTTCTACCTGTTAAGTTATATATATATATGTCTGAGAAAGGTTCAGTTGTGATCTGGATGACGCCATCGTACCACAGGCTATCAAAATCTTTGTGTACATCCCAAGTTGTAGTTAGGGCAAGATTACCTTGTTTCCTTAGGCTGTCCATGGCATCGACGATGATATTGACGGAATGTTGGGTTCCTCGGTGGGTCCTAAAACCCAACCGGTTGTCGGTGAAGAGGTGATTGATATGCATGTAGTTTGTTATAGAAGATTTTTTCAAAGACTTTGCCAATAACTTCAAGTAAGGAGATTAATCTGTAATTCCATACACATGTTCGTCTTTGCTGGGTTGTAGAATAAATATCATTATTGTATAAAGTGTCACGGGGAGATGTTTAGAGTCCACGATAGCATTATAAATATTTACGAGGGACATCTTGCAGTTTCTGGGGAAGTATTTGTTATGCTGATATGCCTTCCTGTGACTTGCCACATCTCCTTTAGGGTAATTGGTCTAGTAAGTGGGTGTTCGTTACTTACTGATATCGGTTAGAAATCTTCTCGGTTGTCACCTCTCCACTGGTTGACCCACTCGTAGTTGTTATTGTTCAATCTTTTACTATCATTGTGTGAGAGGAAGAGAAAGGTTGATCAATTCTTACACAGGAGAAGTTCTGAATGGACCTTGAGAATATTAAAGTAAGTAGACCCTTCCCTTCGCTTTCAACATCAGTATAAAACAGCTCTCGCCTAGCTGCCTTCATCAGCTGTCTGTTCACTGTCTCACAGGGTGTGTCTCCTGGAGTCTGAATTGTCTGCTGTGTCGCCAGGTAGGTCTAGCAAGAAGAAGCTTACTGCAGACACAGACATCGCGGTCTTGTGTACAAGTCATCTTGCATCCTGACACCAGTCACTTCCGTCAACACACTACCTGTCTGCAACACGTCCCAGCTACTTCTGTTATCAGATTACTCGTCTGCAACACAATCACTGCAACACAGCCACTCTAACAGTCTTATAGAAACACGAGATGGTGACATCTTTCTCTGTCCTATACCCTGGTCCAGGGTACACCTGGTCCTACACCCTGATCCTACACCCTGGTCCTACACCCTGGTCCTATACCCTGGTCCTGCACCCTGGTCGAGGGTACACCTGATCCTACACCCTGGTCCAGGGTACACTCTGGCTCTACACCCTAGTCCAGGATACACTTGGTCCTACATCCTGGTCCAGGGTCCACCCTGGTCTTACACCCTGGTCCTACACCCTGGTCCAGGATTCACTCTGGTCCTACACTCTGATCCACGGTACACCTTGGTCCAGGGTACACCTGGCCCTACACCCCGGTCCTACACCCTGGTCCAGAGTGCACCCTGGTCCTACACCCTGGTCCAGGGTATATCCAGGACCAGGGTACACCCTGGAAACTCTCAACTACCAACCTTCTCGATACAATTCTTGAACCCCCATCAGTGTACCTGATTTTCCCCATATTATCTGATTGTTCGGCCTTGCCATACAGACTTCCACCCGTCTCTTCATCCACCACTTCCATCGTTCCTATTTTCAAGAACATCAGATATTCACTTGTCTTGTTACTAGCAGTAATTCTAGAACACATGTCGTTATGTCTGTTGCAAAGACGTTATATGTAAGTAGCATCTGTGTCTCCACTGACACCTGTGTTCTCTGGGCCTTGAAGAAGCGTATGTGGTACTGTCTGTTGTAGTCTTCTCTTTAAAATATGTATTCTAATGTATTTCTCTCTGTTTATTCTTGCCAGACAGCAACAACGATCCAACCACCACCACTGCCGCTACCACTACCACCACCAGCACCGCCACCAGCACCACCATGAAGACCACCACCGTCATCCTTCTTCTGTGTGTAGTGGCGGCCATCACCGCCTTCCCTGACCCTCAGAGCACCGCCGTTGATCAGAAATCAAAGGGTCGCCTTTTTTTCCCTCCTGTAATTGTGCCGATCATAGCACCAACACTTACGACCACCACTGCAGCAACCACTGCAGCAACCACAACCAGCTGGTGTATTGGCACATTTTGTATTCCTAACATATTCCCAACAGTGACTATCACTGGTAAGAGGTAATGGAGCTCTGTTGACGTTGTGACCGCAAACAGTTACTGTTGTTTTTATATGTTCTGCGGCTAAGCGTAAAGTCGTTCCTGTTTCACCGTTTTCGAAGCCGTTATTACCTCATTGTTATATCACTGTTTTAAATTCCTGTTAACTTACTGTTAGACTGTTCTTTACCCCGAGATGGGTCACTGTTTGAGGAGCGAGACACAGGAGTCACTGTTGTATAAGGTACCGTTCACCCCTGGGCCTAGACTCACTGCTGACCCCTCACGGAGTCACTCACTGACTCACTCTCATGCAGTAAATGCGTCAGAACTGACTCACTCACTGACTCAGGCAGAACATCTGTAATGTACACGTCAAAATAAATTTTAATTCTATCTGCTTCTTCCTTATCGACCTCTCATGTCCTGTAACCACCGTCAACACCCCCGTCAACTTGCACTTGACAGGGGTGTGTGTTAAGCAGTGCTTGACAGTCTCAAGTCTGACAGAAAACAGAAACCAGAGAATGTTCTTGTTTTGAAAACTGAGAGACCCACAGACAATATTTCTCTTGTAATGTTTCTAATTTATATCAGTGGAAGGTATTTATATGGTCAGTGGAAGGTATTTATATGATGAGTGGAAGGTATTTATATGGTCAGTGGAAGGTATTTATATGATGATGGAAGGTACTTATAAATGTATATAAGTGTATTGGTAATACGATTGTAAACTAAGAAAGAAATCCAACTAGAGGACAATGTTGATGACTTGAAGCAGAGGAAGGAAGGAAGGAAGGAAGGAAGGAAGGAAGGAAGGAAGGAAGGAAGGAAGGAAGGAAGGAAGGAAGGAAGGAAGGAAAGAAGGAAGGAAGGAAGGAAAGTTGAAAGAAGACACTGGAAGTTGATGCAACTACACTGGTATTGATATGCAGAAACTGTGTGTGTGTGTGTGTGGTGTGTGTGTGTGTGTGTGTGTGTGTGTGTGTGTGTGTGTGTGTGTGTGTGTGTGTGTGTACACACACACACAGGACAGGGGAGAGACAGGGGAGGGAGGGTAAACGGCATTTTCTTGGACTGTACGAAGACTTTCGACACAGTTCCACACAAGAGATTAGTGCAAAAGCTAGAGGAGCAGCGGGGAATAACAGGAAAGGCACTGCAATAGATCAGAGAATACCTGACAGGAAGGAAACAACGAGTCCTGGTACGTGGCGAGGTGTCAGAGTGGGCGTCTGTGACTAGCGGGGTTCCACAGGGGTCAGTCCTTGGCCCGGTGCTGTTTCTGGTATATGTGAATGACATGACAGAAGGAACAGACTCAGAAGTGTCCCTGTTTGCAGACAATGTGAAGTTAATGCGAAGAATTCAGTTGGATGAGGATCAGGCAGGACTATGAAGGGATCTGGACAGGCTGCAAGCCTGGTCCAGCAACTGGCTCCTGGAGTTTAACCCCACCAAATGCAAAGTCATGAAGATTGGGAAAGATCAAAGAAGACCGCAGACAGAGTACAGTCTAGGGAAGCCAAAGACTTCAAACCTCACTTAAGGAAAAGGATCTTGGGGTGAGTATAACACCGAGCACATCTCCTGAGGCGCACATCAACCAAATAACTGCTGCAGCATATGGGCGCCTAGCAAACCTGAGAATAGCATTCCGACATCCGAATAAGGAGTCGTTCAAGACTGTGTACGTTAGGCCCATACTGGAGTATGCTGCACCAGTTTGGAACCCACACCTGATCAAGCCAGTTAAGAAATTAGAGAAAGTGCAAAGGTTTACAACAAGACTAGTCCTGGAGCTGAGGAGTATGTCCTACGAGGAGAAGTTAAGAGATATCGACCTGACGACACTGGAGGACAGGAGAGATAGGGGGGACATGATAACGACATATAAAATACTGAGAGGAATTGACAAGGTGGACACAGACAGAATGTTCCAGAGATGTGACACAGAAACAAAAGGTCACAATTGGAAGCTGAAAACACAGATGAGTCACGGGGATGTTAGGAAGTATTTCTTCAGTCATAGAGTTAAGAAGAGGTACGATAAAGCTTATGGAGCAGCGAGAGAGTGAACTAGTAGCGACCAGCTAAGAGGCGGGGCCAGGAGCTGTGAATCGACCCCAGCAACCACAAATAGGTGAGTACACACACAAACACACATAGATTTTTTTGCAGATCTCAAGTCTTGACTGATGCAGCGGACGGTCACTAACAGTCTGGTTGAGACTGGAGTGCGCTAGTAGCCGGAGGACTGAGCCTGCAACACGCCTTCTGCTGAATGACCCACACGAGTTTAGCGCTTCATGAAGTACAGATGAATTCACAGACACATTTCGAGACAAGTGATGAATAAAACACCTGTACAACACCTGTGTGTCTTTATTGATGAATACAACACCTGTACAACACCTGTGTGTCTTTATTGATGAATACAACACCTGTACAACACCTGTGTGTCTTAATTGATGAATACAACACCTGTACAACACCTGTGTGTCTTTATTGATGAATACAACACCTGTACAACACCTGTGTGTCTTAATTGATGAATACAACACCTGTACAACACCTGTGTGTCTTTATTGATGAATACAACACCTGTACAACACCTGTGTGTCTTTATTGATGAATACAACACCTGTACAACACCTGTGTGTCTTTATTGATGAATACAACACCTGTACAACACCTGTGTGTCTTTATTGATGAATACAACACCTGTACAACACCTGTGTGTCTTAATTGATGAATACAACACCTGTACAACACCTGTGTGTCTTTATTGATGAATACAACACCTGTACAACACCTGTGTGTCTTTATTGATGAATACAACACCTGTACAACACCTGTGTGTCTTTATTGATGAATACAACACCTGTACAACACCTGTGTGTCTTTATTGATGAATACAACACCTGTACAACACCTGTGTGTCTTAATTGATGAATACAACACCTGTACAACACCTGTTTTGTCTTTATTGATGAATACAACACCTGTACAACACCTGTGTGTCTTAATTGATGAATACAACACCTGTACAACACCTGTGTGTCTTTATTGATGAATACAACACCTGTACAACACCTGTGTGTCTTTATTGATGAATACAACACCTGTACAACACCTGTGTGTCTTTATTGATGAATACAACACCTGTACAACACCTGTGTGTCTTTATTGAAGAATACAACACCTGTACAACACCTGTGTGTCTTTATTGATGAATACAACACCTGTACAGCACCTGTGTGTCTTTATTGATGAATAAAACACCTGTACAACACCTGTGTGTCTTTATTGATGAATACAACACCTGTACAAACCTGTGTGTCTTTATTGATGAATACAACACCTGTACAACACCTGTGTGTCTTTATTGATGAATACAACACCTGTACAACACCTGTGTGTCTTAATTGATGAATACAACACCTGTACAACACCTGTGTGTCTTTATTGATGAATGCAACACCTGTACAACACCTGTGTGTCTTTATTGATGAATAAAACACCTGTACAACACCTGTGTGTCTTTATTGATGAATACAACACCTGTACAGCACCTGTGTGTCTTTATTGATGAATAAAACACCTGTACAACACCTGTGTGTCTTTATTGATGAATACAACACCTGTACAACACCTGTGTGTCTTTATTGATGAATACAACACCTGTACAACACCTGTGTGTCTTTATTGATGAATACAACACCTGTACAACACCTGTGTGTCTTAATTGATGAATACAACACCTGTACAACACCTGTGTGTCTTTATTGATGAATACAACACCTGTACAACACCTGTGTGTCTTTATTGATGAATACAACACCTGTACAACACCTGTGTGTCTTTATTGATGAATACAACACCTGTACAACACCTGTGTGTCTTTACTGATGAATACAACACCTGTACAACACCTGTGTGTCTTTATTGATGAATAAAACACCTGTACGACACCTGTGTGTCTTTATTGATGAATAAAACACCTGTACGGCACCTGTGTGTCTTTATTGATGAATACAACACCTGTACAACACCTGTGTGTCTTTATTGATGAATAAAACACCTGGACGACACCGGTGTGTCTTTATTGATGAATAAAACACCTGTACGACACCTGTGTGTCTTTATTGATGAATAAAACACCTGTACAACACCTGTGAGTCTTTATTGATGAATAAAACACCTGTACAACGCCTGTGTGTCTTTATTGATGAATAAAACACCTGTACAACACCTGTGAGTCTTTATTGATGAATAAAACACGTGTACAACACCTGCGTATCTTTATTGGTGAATAAAACACGTGTACAACACCTATGTGTCTTTATTGATGAATAAAATACCTGTGCAACACATGTGTGTCTTTACTGATGAATAAAACACCTGTACAACACCTGTGTGTCTTTACTGATGAATAAAACACCTGTACAGCACCAGCGTGTCTTTATTGATTATTAAAACACCTGTACAACACCTGTGTCTTTAATGATGAATAAAATACATGTACAACACCTGTGTGTCTTTATTGGTAACTCTGACTGTGTACTGTGTGACTGTGTACTGTGTGACTGTGTACTGTGTGACTGTGTACTGTGTGACTGTATACTGTATGATTGTGTACTGTGTGACTGTGTACTGAGTGACTGTGTACTGTATGACTGTGTACTGTGTGACTGTGTACTGTATGACTGTGTACTGTGTGACTGTGTACTGTGTGACTGTGTACTGTGTGACTGTGTACTGTATAACCGTGTACTGTGTGACTGTGTACTGTGTGACTGTGTACTGTGTGACTGTGTACTGTGTGTCTGTGTACTGTGTGACTGTGTACTGTGTGACTGTGTACTGTGTGACTGTGTACTGTATGACTGTGTACTGTGTGACTGTGTACTGTGTGACTGTGTACTGTGTGACTGTGTACTGTATGACTGTGTACTGTGTGACTGTGTACTGTGTGACTGTGTACTGTATGACTGTGTACTGTGTGACTGTGTACTGTGTGACTGTGTACTGTGTGACTGTGTACTGTGTGGCTGTGTACTGTGTGACTGTGTACTGTGTGACTGTGTACTGTATGACTGTATACTGTATGATTGTGTACTGTGTGACTGTGTACTGTGTGACTGTGTACTGTATGACTGTGTACTGTATGACTGTGTACTGTATAACCGTGTACTGTGTGACTGTGTACTGTGTGACTGTGTACTGTGTGAGTGTGTACTGTGTGACTGTGTACTGTATGACGGTGTACTGTGTGACTGTGTACTGTGTGACTGTGTACTGTATGACGGTGTACTGTGTGACGGTGTACTGTTTGACTGTGTACTGTATGAATGTGTACTGTGTGACTGTGTACTGTATGACTGTGTACTGTA